CAAAGGAGCTTGCAAAGAAAAGCGTCTGGACTTCTTTAAGTTACTTGAAGACGTTTCACCTCTCATCCGAGAAGCTTCTTCAGTTCTAAGGTCAAATGGTCAGACTCCCCACCATTTGACCTGAATATTTTGCATAGAAATGATCTTTTGAGTGGCTGTTTATATATATTAAAATAAAAAATAAAAAAAATCAATGTGTGCTTTCTGCACCAGTTTTTAATTAAGGCCTTAGGGATTCATCTAAAACTTTATTGTGAACATTTTGCAAGGGAAAAAAAATCTTAGTATTCAAGGAGGGAGCTGAGTCACTTATTTCATCATCTAGGTTATGACACCATGTTCAGGATTGTAACTGCAAAGGTCACAGTTGCTTCTGGCGTTTTTCTGGTATGGTATTGTATGTAACACATAACCAGGGTACAACTAATGTACCCTGGTTATTTTAATCATTTCTCGGAATATCTTAATGTTTATATGGCATAATAATACAGATATTATCATAATGTCTTAGAGCCAAATGTCAATGTCATCAAATGGCACAATATTTGCAATTTAATATCATCTTTCAATGGAGGAATAATAGAATAGCAGCCAGTAATATTAAGAGTTTTAAAGGGTAAATAAAAAAAATCGTATTAGAATGTAGTTTTAGAGTCAAAAACTACAGTCTTGGGAATATTATGGGAGAAATTCTGAGAAAGATTTCCAGGAAATTAGCTGGAAAATAAGGGATACTGGGATTGATGGAAGGAGCAGTAAATCATGATCCACATAGTTTCAATAAATCGTTAGCAAACATACACAATCCTTTGAACTACTTCCTGGTAATGCTGTAGAATCCTCTGAGGTACACAAGTTGTACTAGTGGTTGGGAATCACTAACCTAGATGGTGAAAACATGGCAAAACATGCTTCCTGCTCCTCATACAAAAATACTGTGCATTCTGTGAATACTGACTCCTGTCCCAATACAATGCACTGCTGAAAAAGGCATTTTCTCCTCCATGTTCTCTGACGAGTGTTTCTACTTAAAGTGGAGGAACAAAAAGAGAAACAAAAAAAACATTGGAACATAACAGATGAAACAGCAGAGTCTAAAGAAATGAAGGAAAAACTCAGAAAATGTGGACATAAATTTCCTTGATTCTATTCTCACTTGTAAAAGAACCATCTTTGCATTTTAAAATAATAAAAAGATCACGCAGTGTTTGAAAAGAAGTACTATAATACGGTACTACCTGGGCACAGATGAAATATTTCTGATCAAATAAATATAAATTGTGATCAAAATATATACTCTTAAGTTTTGGAAAGAGAAGAGGGCATTTAGATCACACTGAAGTTTTGAGTGACTGAGCGATCCTCTCTTATGCTCTTCTTGTAGGAGCCAGGAGTTATGCTAGGAAAATGTGCAGGTAAATATTATCAACATTTACTCCTTCTTCCTGCCTTTACCCTATTGAGAATTACAATAATGCAGATACACATTGAATAAAGGGCTGGTGCTCAGTCACAAACATGTCCACAGTGAGAAGCAGCAACACAGTTTCTAGCATGTTCCAGTTGAGTTTAGGCCATGCCTACTTCCTCTTCCTGCCTCGGCCTCTTCTGCCCCTGCCAGAGGAGGGGCCTGCTCCCGCCGAACCCAGAGCGCCGTCAGATGGGCTGGCTGGGATGTTGATCTGTCCCTCTTGAATTTCGCTGCGAGCCTCTGGTGGAAGATGTTCAATCTGCTGCTGGGTCTCCAGATAAAACATCACGTCTCTCAGCTGTTCCTGCAGTTCTGCTATTGTTCCATCTTTACGATCTTCTATAAAAGAAGCCAACGAGCAACAAACAGTGAACAGGAACTTCTGGTGTTTTCATACAGACAAGCTGGTTGGTATATTATTGATCCCATTCAGCTGTCCTAAGTCAACTCCACAGTCTTGGAAGTGATACTAATATTTGATTAGAATGCTGTCACACTTATGTCACTGTGGATTAAGTTTTTCTGTTCCTAACCCAGATTATTGATTTCTGCATATCAACTGCTAATAAATGAAGCTGCACCACAATTACTCTAAACAAAGAAAAGACTGCTATACGTCTGCCAAAAACAGATTACTGTGTTAACATAATAGTGGCTGCACTGTTTGCAAAAACCTGAAAGAGCAGTTCAGTTACTAAAGTTTACAGAAGATAAGAAGATGCCATTTCTGGGTCAGTTCTCTTTTTCTCTTATATTTAATATAACCACACTACGGACGGACAAGCGACTGTTTTTATGCGTTGTGGTTAGCAACAACGACGGTAACAGCATCGCGTGTACGCTTGTTTATGTTCCACACAGTAAACTGAATCACGTGAAAGAGCAGATTATTTACGGATGAGAAGTAAAAAAGAGCCGCCAGGTGCTAAAAAATAAACCTTAGACTCAAACGTTAGAACAGGCTTTTCCCCGCAGCACGCCGTGTAATAAATACTCACAAAGAAAACTGCGGCTGTTACAACCTATGTCTAAAAATGTATAGTTTCATGCATCGGTTAAAACACTCGAGCTACATGATGCGCAGCTGGAAACACTTCTCGCAATACGAGCTGCCCGAGATTCACAGAATTTACAGAAAATGTTAAATTCTTATATCGGGATATCAGACTTTGGTCATATCACACAGCCTTTGCAGGAGGACTGTGATAATCTCAATTCGATCCCAGTCAGTTCTAACAGGAAAGAACATGTATGTCTGCGGTTCAGGAGGCAGAGCAGGTTATTAACTATAACTTTGTGGTTCACCCCCCAGTCAGCATTCCAAAGTATTTCATCAAGCATCCCCGGGCAAGAGGCTGAACCTTGAGCTTACCCCCAATACATCCTTTGGAGTCTGAGTGTCTATGAGTATGCTTAGGTGAATTGAAAAAAAAAAACCAACCAAACCAGACACACATGCACGCACGCACACACACAAATGGCTGTGTGACATTGGGTAAATGAAGCTTGTAGTAAAAAGTGCCTGAAGTAGCAAACTGCTATGCAAGTCCAGTCCATTTAGAATATAACATTCTGTTAAAGAGTCAAAACTCTGACATTTTTACTATATTTTTTTCTACATTAACACACAGCACATGCCCAGGAGGATATTTGTTTAAATAATCTTGATCCTCACAACTGTGTGTGCCAGGAAAAATACAGGTATGGTGAAACTGTAAACCTAAAATTTCCATTCAAACCTCTGACCTGATACTTAACTTGCCTCAGGCAAAGCAGTGATGAAAGCCGCCTTGTGTTGAGTCCAGAGCAAATGGTGCTCTGATAGTAATACACTACAAAGTAGGTGTCAATAAATGACTTACACTGCAGATTTTAATCATAAGTAAAGAAGATTTTAATAATCTGAAAATATAGACGGAAGCTGGTTTGAAAGCAGAGAGACTGCTTACAAAATTTATGAATAAGTGTTTGACTCTGTCCATCTGCATTAAAAACACTTCTTTGGTGTATGTGGTTCCTGTCTGCTTGCAGAATGACTGTACTCAGCCACAGGCTAAGCAATTTGTTAATGATTTGCAAATATTCCTGTGCAAAGAGGAACTAGTTTCTCACTACAGCCCTGAAATAAAAATAACCCATGCTGTTTCATGGTCAAAGGTCCTTTTTTCATTTTGAGTATTTACATATTCTAAGCAACCAGCAGCCAATCATTGGAAAAGGTCCTGTTACTCATTCTTCTCTAGCACCAACCCGTTGCTCTAGATTCTTGACTACTTTCATCAGTTTCTGTTTAAAGCAATAGGTGATGCAATAGTGAACTAGCAGGCTTGAAGTCAAAATATCTAAAAGAATCCTTTCTGTACTCTGGCCACCAGTGTTGTACCAATTGCCTTTACCTCATGCATTTGGAGCACATACACACTAAAAATAAAAATATACAAATGAAAACTAACAAGAAGTGTACAAAGAATTCAGGTTCACTTCATTTGTAGCCGGTGCTTTTTAATGCCAATTAAAGAAAACCTTGAAAAAGTCTAAATTAAATTCTTCTATCAGCATCTGTGCACATGCTGTGCCAAATTGAACATGCTACACTTTCCTGTTGGTATATGTTACTCTGAACATAGGGTATCACAATGGTTTTAAAACTAAAAAATACAAATCACACATTAATCATGGAAATATTGCACTGTATTGTTCACTCTGAGGCTTCTTTCATTTGTGAATTTGGCAGGCTGACAAAATAATACGTCCAGCACTTGAAGCGTTTGTGTTTTTTCCTCTCAGTTGAAGCATCAACATCCTCAGAAGTTCCATTTTTTGCTGTGCTTCGACAACTTGATATCACCACTGTGATAAAACTGTTTATACCAGCATGCTACAGTTTTCAACCCATTGAGTTAATACAGAACATCAATATTGAGTACTACTACATGACTTATTGGTCTCTCTTTACATACCGCTTTCTTTTGCTTTGCGTTCCTCCTCTGACAGCTGTACCTGCAGCTGTGCCTGATTGGCTCTCAGACAGCGGTTCATCTCCTGCTCCTCCGTCAGCTCTTGGCTCAGCTTCACCACTCGACTGTTCAACTGAGTGCATCTGAAAGTAGAAATGCAGCAGTGCTGCATGTTGTCAGGTTCCATACAAAAACAAGCCCTATAGATCATTTGGTCTAAAGCAGCGGTCCCCAACCTTTTTTGCGCCACGGACCGGTTTATGCCCGACAATATTTTCATGGACCGGCCTTTAAGGTGTCGCAGATAAATACAACAAAATAAAACTAGTACCGGTACCGAAAAAAAGAAAATTTATTCATAACACACGTGAAAAGACCAAGGAAAACCGAGTAAACGATAAAAACGATAACAAAATAACGCTGAAAACCAAATACTTCACACCTGAGCCTCAACTCTCGCGGCCCGGTACCAAACGACTCACGGACCGATACCGGTCCGAGGCCTGGGGGTTGGAGACCGCTGGTCTAAAGTCTGGGTGTCTGATTGGGTTTAACTAAACTAAGAAGTTGTAATGTAAATAAAGCTTTTAACAGCAGAAACTTTGGCTTGTTATAGCAGGAAAAGCAATGTCACTATCAATTTGAGCCTGCATCATAGAAGTGACACACACAATACCTGGTTGACCATGCAGCAACAAAGATTTACTGCTCCACTGCAGTAAATCATGGTCTGGTTGACCATGCAGCAACAAAGATTTACTGCTCCACTGCACATTTTGCAAGCCACAATGACAACTCTTCAAATAAGGCATTTAATCCTATTTCCTCTGTAGTTCCAGCTTTTTAAAAAAAAAAAAAAAAAAAAAAAAAAAAAAAAAAAGCACAAAAATGCTTTAGTAACCTGTTGTGCATCCTGCCATTTCCTGGAAACACCCACTTGAATCTCCTAGAGTTCTGGGAAAAGTAGCTGGGAGTTGTTGGGATCCTGAGTAAGTGCTTGTTAGGGCATTTTCTGCTTTCAAACAATCGTTTGCTAAGGAAATGAGGAATTTTCCCACCTCAAGACTACATATTGAGAGCCTTGGTTGAATTGTTTTATCTTCTTTGGGGATATAACTTTATCTCCTCCACTAAATAATTTTTAGAGTTTTAGTTTGCGTTATACACTCAAGTCTATAGTGCAACCACACTGTCCAATTGGTTCATAAAAAAGATCACAGATACCAACAACTACTGGGACCACTGAGCACACAATATAAAAAAGTAACCGAACACCTACTTTTTCTCTATGCTCTGTTTGTCTTTGGTCATTTCTCCTAACCGTCGCTCTAGGTTATCACAGCGCTCCAATGTCTCCTTAAATTTCGCTTTCATGTTGTTTATCTGAAATATGTACAAAAAGATAGAGGTTAGAAAAAGGCAGCTGGGACAAAGGACCTGTGTTTTGCATTTCCACAAGAGGGCGATAGATAAATCAAGATGGACAGGCACTAGTCAAGAGGACTAAGCCGGGACTGGGGTCCTATACTACTGCACATGTGCTGCTTAGCAAACCAATCCACTCTAAACTGCTAAGAAATGTACATTTTATAAGTGAATAAGTAATACGTTATATTAGTGTCTGTGGCAATTGTTCATTGTATTTGGGGCAGCTAGTGAGTCCTTTGCTCTCAACAGTTCTCCTATGAGTAGATATAAGCCAATACTGTTCAAGATGTTGCCAGCAAGCTAACATGATGTAACACAGTCTAACTTACAAGTGTTTACCTTTGTGTTTGCTATGAATTGTTCATTTGTGATTATTAGTTCAGATGTTGTATAAAGCACTTTGAGTGCTCCAGGAGAGTAGAAAAGCGCTAAATAAGAATCAGTCCATTTACCATACCATCCATATGTATCAGTAAATTGAGTGGAATCTAGAGCACGACTTCTATGCCTCAGTTTGGTTCTTCTAAACTTTACAGCCTGATATAAGTCAATATTCATTAAGGGATTGCAAAACTTGTGTTGCATTTGTCCATAAGTACCTCTTCAGCTGTCTCCTTCTCCAGATGAACAATCTTATTCTCCCAGTAAATCCTTTGAGACTCGAGCTGACTTGTCAGCAGGTATGAGTACTGCAGACAGAGAGAACTCATTTAGAACATTTTGATGTCGATTGCCGTTACAAAACAACAACAGCAGATGCTCACCTCTAGCTGGAGTGCATCAATTTTCTCTGCCTGGCAGGTGTCTCCCTCACACTCATACTGCACCATCTTCCCATCAGTCTTACTGGCCACAAGCCGATGTACATAGTTATCTACAATACCAGCAATAGCCTTAGTCAGGTATTATATTTTCCAAAACACATTTCAAAAGACATCAAATAAAATCATTACAGACTATTCTGTCATTTTTACACTTTGCCTTCCTGTTTTTGGCTTCACTGTCTCTCTAGTTACTACAGGGCAGAACTGTTTGCTATCAGGACTTCATAAAAGCTGATAATGGGTCTGGCTCCGACTTATTTAGGTATTCTTCTGCCCCCTATGGGGAGAAAACTGATTATAGCAGCAAATTATTCTGGTAATTTACAGCCACCCTCCTTAAAGAGAAACTATTCTGCTCATTTTCAGCTTCATACTTTTTGTTTTTGGAGTCTACCAACAACTTTGCCTGGTTTGCGGTTCAAAATAATCTTTGTATAACTTTGTATAAGGTGTTTTATCTCTTCTCCCTTAAAACCAGCTTTCTGGTGATAGGTTTGCCCTTGTAAACAGAAGTTTTGAAGATATAGCACATGAGGTTAGGCTTCTGTGACCGAGATGGCCATATTAGAGCTATTCTTTCTCTATAACATAGAGAGAAAGAACATACATTTAGCAACTGAAAAGCAGTCTAAAGGCTGAGCCCAATATTGAACTCCAGTACAGTATATGAGCATCAACTGCTGTAACAGTATAAGTACAACAGAAAATAAGAAAAAGCAGAACATGCATCATTTTAACAGCAGCATGCACAAAATCCAGTACCTCCTGCGTAGTCCCAGACTCGGTGATTGGTGAGCTGCATAGCGTAGGTATGCTGTGTTTCTTCAAAGTGCTTGTAGGCATGGCGGCTAACGTAGCGACCACATCCAATATGACCGCAGATCAAGCATATCCACAGATTCTATGAAGAAAGATTCAATGAGGGACAAAAAAAAAAAGAAGGTTAAAAGCAAAAAGCAAGAAGATCAAGTGATTATCTTCTATTACACCACTGTGGGAGAGTGATACAGCTTACCTCCTGCACTCCACATTCAAAGCATTTGTTCTCTTCAACTGGTTCTGGTGTTTGACAGTACCTACATACAGGACACCTGAAAACAACACACATTCGGCTTTGTCACAAGCATGCAGTTGTCTTTTGTAAATCAGGAGAATGCATGTAAAGAGCAGGACAAAAACAACACATGGAACAAAACGACAAAGCCTGGAGAAATATCCAGTGGAGTGAATATCAGGTGAATGCATTTAAACTACATCAGAGAAACTATCACACATGATTGACTTAAAGCTGGCAGATAAGAACAGATCTTTTCACATACTTTGTTAAAGTAGGTCAGAAATAGGTTTTATTGTCTAATATCAAGTGTTTTAAATTGAGTAAGCAAAAATTAGCTAACTACCAAGTTGAAACTGATGTAGTAAATACAGGGGAACTTGTATGTGCATTCAACTCACGAGGCATCTTCCCAGCGCTGAAGACACTGGCTGTGGAAGCTGTGGTTGCACAGAGTGGTGAGGATGCCATTAACAGACTCGTCCATTCTCTCCAGGCACACGGTGCACTTGGGCAACTCAGTCAGCTCCATCACTGGAAGACTGGCTCCCTGAGGAGAGGGAGCAGGAAGGAAGGAGGTTGATGATAAGAGCCAAGAAATCACTTTAAAAAAAATTCTGGGTTTTAATACTGAAACAACAGAGAAGGACTGATTTAAACTGACTTATATTCGTTCTGGCTGCACACGATGTAAAGGGTGTAAACAGCAAACACCAATAGGTGAGATGATATAATGTTATTTTTGTGCCTCTATTCTGAGTGCACGTAAAAAAAAAATTGCAAGCGCAAATGTTGCATTTTGAGGGAAGAAAAGTTTAATTTGAGCAAACATAATTCATTGCTGCATGCAAGAAATGTATTTCAGTGTTTGCTATTATCCATATACACACACACAATAACGGCCCCTCTCGCTCAGTTGTTGATATTTGCTCTTGCTCAGATCTCTGCTCTGTGTGCTCACAGACATCTGTGGACCTGCTCTCAGTGTGTCATTCCCACTCTCAACATCCCTGCTCCCTGCACGCTCAATTCTTTCTGTAAACCATTACAAGTGTGCCACAAAACCAACCAATCACAGACTTGGATGCAAAAATTCTGATTGGAGACCAAAAGAGCCAATCAGCTCGCTAGCTACTGCATTCCGGACACACGGTCCAGAACGTAGCTAAATCCATTTTCGGTTAGTATGCTTAATTATTATATTTTAAAATATATAATTTTTTTTTTTTTTTTGCTGGTTTTAATCTAGTTTAAACTAAATCACTCCACTGGATTTAGCTACATTCTGGACCGTGTTTCCGGAATGCAGTGGCTAGTGCACAGAGAGGAAAAGCGACCCACTGAGAGCAGGTCCACAGATGTCTGTCAGCACACAAAGCAGAGACCTGAGCAAGAGCAAATCCAACAACTGAGCAAGAGGGACTGTTATTGTGTGCGTGTATATGGATAAGAGCAAACACTGAAATACTTTTCTTCACTCAAAATTATTTTCTCCTCAAAATGCAACATTTGCGCTTGCAATTTTTTTTTTTTACATGTGCTCAGAATAGAGGCACAAAAATACCACCATAAGATGACAAAAGCACCTTTATTAAAGCAGAATGAGTAATATAAAATGCCAAAAAGGGGTTATATTTAAATGCAGTTCTTAAAAACTGTTGCAGTTTAGAGGGAAAAAAATCAGTATAAGTTATGGTCAATGTTATATTAAAACATTTTTGGCACACTGCCTGCTGTAAGCCAGCTGTTTCACTCCAGACACCACTGACAGAAAAAAGTAAGTAATTGTAAAGCAATTCTATCTCCCAAAACACAGGACCTAATTAAAAAACACAAAACAAACCAAACCAATACACAGTTTTTGTTAATTCAACATAGTCAACAGTCAACAGAGTCGTTGACTATAAAAAAAAAAAAAGAGTGACACCAAACTTTTTTTTTGTTTTTGTTCCCACCAATGCACTTGTAACATTAACTGATGTGTATTTCTAATATTCTCAGATAAATATCCTCTAATAACTTCACAAACACCACCCACCTGCTGCAGACTGAATAATGTGTAAAAGCTAAAAACCAAAAATCACTCACTTCTTCAGACTTGATGACCTCTGCTCGCTCCACATAGACCAGCTGGCACACTGCTTCCTCTATAGAGTTGAACTGGCGGCCATTGCATGCTGTGTAAAAACTGTCTGCGTCTGCCTACAAATAAGAGAGCAGGAAACGTATTGTATTTGGAACAGTTATATACAGTTAATTGTATTAAAGCAGCAGTTAATACTCTGTCATCTCTAAGCATGAAACTCTCAGAACTCTGAATTGATCAAAATCCCAAGGTCTATTGCCAAAAAACTGTGAGAATAAAATATAACTGTAAAAATCAATATTACTATAGTTGAGAAACAAAACTAAAACATTTTGCAATATGGCAGCATTTGTTTATGTTACAGAGAGGCTGAAAACCCTGAACTGCCTAAACCTCACATCAAGTACCAACAATTATCACTATTCATTGAATTTTTTGATGCAGGCTTACAAAAACATACACCAACATCCTTCAAACTTCACTTGCGGAGGGAAAAGTGAAGGAGATGATACCTGTGTGCAGAATTTAATGAGAACCATGTATTGGTTAGGGGTAGAGTCCCGTATGATCTTCATGTGCTCCATGACATCATTAAAAGGAGCCATGAGCTTCATAAGGTCATGGCTGGTCATGGTCGCTGGGACGGTGATGATGCACACCATAGCGCTGCGTCTGACATCTTCAGTCAGTGATGTCATTTTGCTGCAATAAAGAGCAGGGGGAAAAAAAGCAAACAACAATTGTGACTAAAACGTCAATGTTAGCTTGAAATGGTGGAAGTGAAATGACGAAATTGTATCATTACATGCAGTTTGAGGTGGACTCTGGAGTTCGATAAAGAAAGCATCAGACTTTTATCAGCTGCAATTTAGCCGACAATGATCTGGGAAAAACTGCCCAAATACAGATCCCTACTGTTCACCTCATCACAACTGTCATAAACACACCAGATGAGACTCACTTGGTCTTGTAGAGGTGCATGATACCGTGAATGATCTCCACTGACGGGTTCCCGCTGAAGAAAGAGATCTGGTCCGGGAGCTGCTTGGAGGGTGAGTCCGGAGCTGTGCCTGTCGTAAACCTCCTATCCTCTGCACCCTCCTGACTGTCTACACCAGTCTTTGCATCCTGAATTTCACTGTTCCGCTCCTCATGTCCACCTGTGTCTGGAAGAGAAATTCAGCAATTTAGATTATATATATTTTTAATGTGTATGAACAGACAAAACCAAACTTGAATTGGCTTACTTTCATTCCTGCTTACAAGAATTAAAAAACAGGTAGAATAGACATGCAGGTCTATTCTATGCCTAAATACGCCAAATGTTCTAATTATTTAAAATGGCTTTAAAATTCGTTGCTTCCTCAGCTCACATCTCTCGGAAGGAATGAAGTAAGATGTGAGTAGAGGCGAAAAGAGAAACTGAGGCTCTACAAACTAAGAAATGAGAGGACAAGAAAGAGGATGAATATGTATAAATGGCACATTTTATTTATGGAGGCCAAAGGTGACTTAAATTACTTTGAACATGGCATGGTTGTTGGTGCCAGAAGGACTGGTATGAGTATTTTAGAAACTGATAATCTACTGGGATTTTCCAGCACATCCATCTCCACAGGCTACAATTCAGACAGACTGACCAAAGCCAAACAGTTAGGTGGATGTGAAAAATGTTGTCTGCTCTGATGAGTCTAGTTTTCTTCTGCAAAATCTGCCTGGTAAGGTGAGAATTTCAGGTATAAAACATGAAAGTATGGATCCTGGCTTGCATCAATGGTTCAGACTGGTGGCAGAATAATACTGTGGGGGACAGTTTCTTGGGACATTTAGAGTCAAGAGCCTCTTAGTATCAACTGATCATCGTTTTAACACCACAGCTGCTGATCTGAGTATTGCTGCTGACTATTTTCAATCCTCTGATGGCTGCTTCCAGCAGGGAAAATGACCTTCACAGACACCACATCTCAATCCAATAAAACAGCGGTCCCCAACCACCAGTCCGTGAGTCATTTGGTACCGGGCCGCGAGAGTTGAGGTTCAGCTGTGAAATTTACGGTTTTCAGGGTTTTTAAATGGTAAATGGACTGATTCTTATATAGCGCTTTTTCTACTCTCCCGGAGTACTCAAAGCGCTCTATACAACATGCCACATTCACCCAGTCACACCCATTCTCACAAGCACTTTATCTATACTTCGTGCTTTTTTCTAACTACATTCACACACATTCATACTCCGATGGACGCATCGGAGAGCAACTTGGGGTTAGTATCTTGCCCAAGGATACTTGGCATGCAGACTGGAGGAGCCTGGGATCGAACCTCCAACCTTCCGATCAGTAGGTGACCTGCTCTACCTCCTGAGCTACAGCCACCCCCAATTTTTATTTTTTTATTGTTACCTTGGTTTCCCTGGGTCTTTTCCCGTGTTGTAGTTGTGTCTTATTTTGAAAGAAATATTTCTGCATTACCATAGTGACCAAAGAGCATTAAGGGGCAGAGAGGAGGATGTTACTCTCAATGTTGTTGGCGCATTTCAGGAGGACACAGCTAATTAAGTTACACAATTACACAGTGAATTTGCATTTATTATTATTATTATATTTATAAAATACCACAGTTTGTCTTGGTCGTATCATTTTATTTTGTTGTATTTATCCGCGACGCCAAATGTTCTAATTATTTAAAATGGCTGTGAAACGTCTGTGAAAATATTTTCTGACATTAAACCGGTCCGTGGCGCAAAAAAGGACGGGGACCGCTGCAATACAATATATTTGGGATGTTGTGGAACGGGAGATATGTGTCACGAAAGCGTAGCTAGCAAATCAATAGATTATAGACCAAAAACTGAGTAACATTTCCAGCACCTAGTTAGCCCCGTGCAATGAAGAATTAAGGCATGTCTGGATGCAAAAGGGGCCTGACATAGTAGGTGTAAACCTAACAAAATAGACAGAAAGTATTGTGTTTTATACATGATACACAGTCACCTGATGACCACATATGGAAAAGAGAGTGTATTTTAAACTTTCATTTTCTTCCCTGCTATTTCTTACCTGCCTGGCTTTTCAGAAAGATTATTTACTAACATTACAAACGTTGACATTAATAGTTATTAAGATGTTGAATTAGGTTCAGTGTGGTAAAAACACTGAACCTGTCCCCAAAGGACAGTAAAGTCTGGCACTCAGAGCTGACCTTTTATGCTTTTCATATTTTATGTCATATATAGGTACACTTAAACATCAGGAAAATTCTTACTTGGGCTGGGCTCAAAGGTCTCTATCACCATGTCCCCCATGGCTCTGCTGCCGATGTGCTGGTGCAGCACAGCTGATCTTTCCAGGTCGGTTTTTCCACTCAGACTGTGTTTGGCTAAACCCAGAGCTTTCTCCTGCAGCTCCTCCTCTGACATGCCTTCAACTGCACACGAGAGGAACACAGTCAGGCATTAGCTATAATGAAGCAATTCGTTAGTTTGAAATTACCTTGTGAAAACAGTAAAACGACTAACAGTGGACAAATGGGTCTTCACGCCTACTGTTGGTTAGCTGTTTAACTTTCAGCAGATATTTGAAAATTAAGAGAATAAAACTCACCAGCGCAGTACTGGAAACCTTGTGGAAAAGGTGACTGGTCGGCTAACTCCAGACGAATAACGACCAGCGACACACTCATGTGTTATAACTGGGGATGCCACTTAACACAGAACAAAACAAGCCGCTGACAGCTGAGCTAAAACAGCTAGCACGTAGGGCTAACTGGATGACTGGCAAGATATTCAGTTCGTGTCTAATTACAGTAAGCAGACAAATACAGCAGAAGCAAAGAGCTTTCAGTTTAGCTTTAAAACTTCCATTTTATGCACAGTTTTTTCTTTCTTTTCCGACATAAAAACACAAATCAGATTTGTTTTGAATGCTAATACAAGCTAGCTGTGTCGAACCACTTCCCCTTCTTCTTCGTCTTCTTCAGCTTTTTCTTCTTTAATTTGAGTAAGGCAGAGTAGACGCTACAGCGGTGCATTACTGCCCTCTGCTGTTTATTTTTTTTATTCTTGTTCCTTTTTCCGTGTGATGTGACAGAAAAAGATACTAAGAACAGATGGAGGCAGATTATTTTGCTGAGGCGACCCCTAAAGAGAGCAGCAAAAAGAAGAAAAAGATGATGACGACGACTTTAACAGGAAAAGGTGTTTTTCCTTGTATTGCAAGGCAAAATGTCCCACATTATTTCTCCCTTTGTCGTAGCACATTGACATTTTTACGACTGACTCACTCATGACTGAAGTGCATTCTCATTATAGAGCAGTCTTTTATTTCCTTACAAGAAACCTTTGACAAGTAAACACATATGCTGGTCTTCAGATAAAACCTGACTCAGAACCTCCTTAGTGACTTCTGAATAATATATATGCCCGCCAAAATAGAAATATTCAATTTTACCTTGAAATGTTCTTAATATCTTCCACCAACCAAAAGGCCCCCAAAATTTCCATCATCTTCATTTTAAATACTGATAGCTGATATGGAGTTCAAATGCCACGTTCTCTGTCTCCACACTCTCGGATGTTTATCATCATCTTATTTTGGCTGCTCCCTTTAAGGTGTCACCACAGTGGGTTTTCTACCTTCTCTCCAGTTTTGTTCACCATCTTGTGTCATACAAACTTTTCCATTACACTCTTCGTCCTGGGTTTGAGGTCCTTTGCATGAGTGGTTCTTATAATTTGTTTAAAAATTATTTTCTGTTCCCAGTGTTTCATCCAAGCTGACTGTTGCCTGTGTATAGGAGAACTTCATGATTTGGGTTTAATCACCATGGACTGACTGACTAACTAAATAACATCAATTTTCTGTACTTGTATTTTGAGCTTATTTCCAAAGTTTCAGTTCATTGTGTCTGAAATAAGCTGGTGTAGCTCCCCTCCTTTTAAAGCTAACTTCTTCTGGTTGGCTGGTCCTGTTAAACAGCATCTGTGGAGATATCTGTAGGACTACAATTTAGAAAAGTTGTCCAAATCTAAAGCAGACTTTTACTTTTCCTAGTGTTGATAATGACAAAAACATAAAATACAGCAAAATCCTCACATTTACCTTGTTTTATTTTAAAAAAGCTTTGACATTCCAGTGTTTCTGTTTTCCATTTTCTAACAAAAGAGGGTGGCAAGATGACACTCCAGATTGTCAACCATTATTCTCAACACATGTAATCAGATCACAGACACCTTCTGTCCAGTCACTCAAACAGATGGGCTCGACTCTTTAAAGAAAAAAAAAAAAAGAAAAAAAAAAGGCATTAGCAGATGTGTATGCCACTGAATGCATATTCAGGACTAACAGGAAGGGGAAGAGTTTGTCATTTACTCACATATTCACATTGCTGTGCCAAATTCTTACAACAGTATAAATAAAACTGCACACAACCTGCAGTGCCATCAGTGCCCCTTGGTATTTGTAAACTATGCCTCCATTTGCTTCTTTCCTCCACCTCCTGTTTACTGATGACAGCACAAGATGCTAATTTTGCACAAATTGGGAAGATGCAGCAGCTGATGACACCATTTTGGTTCACGAGTCTTTTAGTAGGGGGAGGAAGGAAGATGAGGGAATAAAGCGGGAATGACAAAACTGTTAACACAGGACAAATCTCATAGCATCTACTGCACCTGCTTTTAAAAACACACTAAAGTCCTGGCTCACACACAGTACTTCAAAAAAAGGCTGCCTCAGCTATTTACAATTAGGTCCAATGTCTGCCTGTGAAACACACCTGAGACAGAAGAGTTGTCCCAGGACAGTTACTATGAAGCTGCATATTGGCTGGACATATAATCTGGTCTAGTATGAACATGAGTGTCAGTATATCCAGTCTAGTCACAGCCTCCTTTGCATTTATCTTTATAACTGTCACTTTTTCTTTTTCCTTCAGCAACGCAAATTCAAGCAGTTGCATATTCGCAGCCTCAACAGAAAGCATGTTTTTGGTGAACATTCATGTTATGATAGTCATAGATGGTCTCTTAAATAATTCTAATCATTCCTGTCTCTAAAAGTTCTGAAGCCTGATTTCTTCTTTGTGCTGGAACAACCTGATTCCACAAGACCGTGTTTACAAGCACCGCTTCCACTAATGGTGCCACTAGTATTAAAAAAACAAACAAACAAACAAACAAACAAACAAACAAACAAACAAACAAAAAAGAGCGGCAGACAATAACCTCCCCAAAAAAGAAAAAACCCCAACCCTGGTTATCTAACTCATTCCAACATTGCTCTTTGTAATACTGCAACTACAGAGGTGGTTCCACTTTTAGTGCTAAAGCCACATACACGCACACAGGGTACACGAAGCAAAGGAATTCTTTTTTTTTTTTAAATGACGATGACAATAATTTGTGTATGGGGAAACATCAGTCTGAAGGCTTCCTGCAGGCGGTCAGGCGTCCAAAGAGTTACAAAGAGTTCATGAGTTCATTGCAAAATTGTGCCCATTTGCTCTCCAATGTGCTGGAAAAGCAATCCTTCAACTGCGTTTTTATTTTTTTGGAACTCACCAGAAAATAATAAAGTCAAAAATAATAAAAAAGGAAACATAACTGACCAACACACATAGTGGTTTATTGTGTCTTATATTCTCATTTAGTTACGGAGTTGTGGTTGTTGCTCTTTATTATGTACAATAATTTATTAGATTAGCTGTTGTAAAACTGCGTATTCAGTAATCTCATATATATATA